GATGAGTTCTTAGGTTAGATGAAATAAATTATACATAACCAAAGGTTAAATAAAAATCCTATAATCTTAAAAGTACAAAATGAAGTAAAAAGTTAAATCTGATTTGGAAGAACTAGGTATTATCAATAATCTATGATGATGAAGGGATACAGTGTAAGAATTACAAAGGCCCGCTTTCACTAACTGGTAAGAAACTAAAAAGCTTGCTTTAAAGCACAAAATATTAATGTCTTCATCTTGATTTGATAAATTCTACCAAAAAAATTTAACTTTTCCCTGAACAATAATTTAACCATACCCCTATGGTACCACTCTTCCAATGGCTGAAAAATGAAATTCTGTAGAAGCAGCAGGTTAGAAAACAATACGAGTCTTCAAGAGTCCATGTGCAAGAGGGAAACAGAAGAATGACCTACAGCTCTCACTTTCAAGTCTAGCATGGATATAGCTCCCATTCTAAGGGTTGTGGAGTGGCCAGAATAGAAGACAGACTGAGTTTTCTTTGCACCAGATGCTGAAATCATGGTAAGCTTCCAAGCATACCATTGACTCAAGAAATCACTTGCTCATAACAACATGAACTCATAAAAGTCAGCAGGCCTTGTGATACATTGCTTAAGGGGAGTTTCGAGGGTAAGCCATAAGGCCTCTTTTAAATCGAAGAACTAGATCTAAGTGGCTAAAAACTAATATGGCCCAAGGTAAACTTGGAAATAAAAACATCGGTCACTTTTTGTCAAGTCAGTAATTTATGTCTGCACAAGGATATATGTTTTAAAATATTCTGATTCATTTTTGTCAGAATTTTTATCACATTTACCTGACTTTTTCTCATTTTAATTTTTATTTCAGCTTCAGCTCATTGTTATTATTCTGGACAGTTTATAATATAGAACAATATCCCGCAATATAAGGTTGAAGTAAAACACAGTGAGTATCTAAAAGTTTGTGGATTTCTTAGGTAAATTATGGTAAGTTACAAAAATTACCACCTCATTTTTGGTAAAAAAAGGATATGTTTCTATATGCATAAAAAAGAATTCAAAAGGATATACACCAAAGAAATATACCAACAGTGGTTATTGGGAATGGTTACAGATGTTTTCTGTTTTTTTGCTTATGTATATATTCTCAGTTTTTACAATTACTTATGGAATAAAAATCAACTTTAGAGAGATTATAAAATTATGCTGTTGCTGGATATTTAGGTTACATTAACTTTTGCTATTATAAAAGTACAAGCAAAAACAATAGGCTGAAAATGAATTTAAAATTTAAAGGTGACATCTGATCTCAAGATGGCCTCCTCTTTATTTTAAAAAATCCCACTAAAACAACAAGAACAAGAAATGGAAATACAAAATAAAAACGGGTGATGCACACAGCCACAAGCACAATATATAAAGGCAGAAGGCATATGGAAGAATGGAAGTGACTTGGCAGTGGGGAGAAAGGTGAAACATAACTCCCTCTAGTGGGAGAGCTGGCAAGAAACAAGTCTTTTTGCCGTGCGGAATACCAGAAGGGCTCAGGAATTGAGGCACCTGGTACTTAAAAAGCTGGGGACTAAAAACAGAAAGTCTTAAAGTAGATCTTTAAGTCCCCTCCCTCGATCTGTAGGAGGTGGAAGGGACAGTCTTTAGAGAATTAAATAAGGGAAGTCTGACTTGGGACTTGGTACAAAGGAGAATAAATATGAGACATGGTACTGAAAGTAAGAGGATTAAGTTTGCTTATTGAATGGTGAGACCTTGACCTTAGTCTTAAATGTATCTTGGAGGATCCTACTAAGGAGAAAACAAACTACCCAAGTGAAAAGTTGTATAAACACTGACATTTGGGAGTCCCTAATAAAAAAGCTAATTAATAATCTAACTGCCCCACAGTGAAACTTACTAGTGGGTAAGTGGCACCCAAACACTCAGAGCTTTTATGTATATACGAAGACAACAAAGAATTCCCAGACCTTTCTAAGCAGAAAGTAAGAGCAAAACAGAAAAAATAAACTCAAAGGAAAGAGAGACATGGCAGGAAGCAGAAAAAAATTTCAGGGAAATTAAAATTAATATATTTGAATAAAAAAGGAAAAATGCATTAATAATAATAAAAGGATGCTATAAAAATGGGACAATTCTGAGAATAAAAGAAGAGCTTGTGAAAAAAAAAAAATTTTTTTTTTAATTTATTTGACGGAGAGAGATCACAGGTAGGCAGAGAGGCAGGAAGAGAGAGAGGGGGAAGCAGGCTCCATGCTGAGCAGAGAGCCCGATGTGGGGCTCGATCCCAGGACCCTGAGATCATGACCTGAACCGAAGGCAGAAGCTTAACCCACTGAGCCACCCAGGTGCCCCATTTTTTTTTTAAGATTTTATTTATTTATTTGACAGACAGAGATCACAAGTAGGCAGAGAGGCAGGCAGAGAGAGAGGAGGAAGCAGGCTCCTTGCTGGGATCATGACCTGAGCCGAAGGCAGAGGCTTTAACCCACTGAGCTACCCAGGCGCCCTGAGCTTGTGAAAATTTTTAAAAAGAACAAAAAATTTTTAAAATTCAGTAAAAGTGTTGGGGAAAAAACCTAAAACACAAAGTGGTAGACAATGTGAAAGAAAAAAAAAAAAAGAAGACAAACAATAAATCCAAGATGTCTAACATCTGACTCAAAGAAATTCCAGGAAGAAAAAGAAAACAGTAAATAAGAAATTATTGAAGAAAATACTTCAGATACAAAAACAATGAATGATAGGGACACGTGGGTGGCTCAGTCAGTTAAGCGTCCAACTCTTGATCTCAGTTCAGGTCTTGATCTCAGGGTCATGAGTTTAAGCCCTGTGTTGGGCTCCACGAGCCTACTTACATGAAACAAAAAAAAAAAGAAGAAGAAGAAGAAATAATGAATGATGAAAGTCTTATATGTTCTAAATGGAAACGATTTCCAATCAAGTATTCATGGTCAATGGAGTATGAGCTTAGAATAAAGCTCTTTTCAGAATACGTACATGCATCTTTTCTCAGGAAACCACTTGAAAAAGGACTTCACTAAAATGAAGGAGTACACTAAGAGAGATGAGACGGGATCCAAGATACAGGAGGATCCAACACACAGTAGGGTCGAAGGGAATTCTGTGTTGGTGTTCAGAACCACCTCTGTGTTGTAGCTGTGGCGAGCAACCGCTCTAGACTAGAGAGCTCTGTCAGAGGTGTTGCTACCATGCGTTAGCCCTCTAGAAAATCTGGTTAATTTCATTCTGCAGAGTTTTTAGAAGATCAAAGAAGACTCAGAGTCAAAGAGAAGCAACTAGAAAAGCAATGAAGTAATCATTAACTCTATGAAATGAAATCACAGTATGTCTCCCCTGCTATCAGAAAGTAGAAAAATCCTATGATATCTTTCATAGGCCGAAATGTTGTAAAGTGAAGAGCACTCAGATTAAGTTATATAGAGAATTTTTTGTGCATTCCAAGACCACCCCCCCCCGCAAAATCTGTTATTAAAACACATCTTGCTAATGGACGTGCAAAATAAATTGAGAAAGTAAACTGAGAAAATAAACTGAGATACACAGATGCTCACAGAGTTCATAGCTGTGGTAGCCTGATGCTGAGATGCTGAATATAGTTCTGGGGAAGGAGCTGGCGGGGGCTGCTGTCGCTGCCCAGAGTGTGCAAATCTCCTACAACTGTTAGCTGCAAAAAAATACTGAACACTATTTCTGCTTTTCACCTTTTTTTGTAAAAATGAAAATTTTTTTAGATTTCTTTTGGTTGGTGAGAACAGGTATAATGTAGGTCTTTCATAAAAGTAAAGCAGCTTCATGTGAATTTTTGAAAAGCAGGGAGATACCTATATGCTTCTTGGCTCGGCAGTGAACACTATATACTTGTTCTTTACATGAAAGTAGTGAAAGTTAATTTTGCCAAAATATAAATATTTTAGGAAGAGGAAAATAGGCTATTATGAGAGCCTAATCTTCATCTACTACATTAAGAAGTCAATATGTACGTAATCTTACATCTAATCTATCAGAAGAGCACGATCTGCCTACTATTTAGAATGAGGTAATTACCAGGAAAAAGTAACTAAGAGTTTTTTTAAACTGGTTGCCTATGGCTAATGGGACGTTAGGGTCAAGGCAGGGGGAAGGGGGAGAAAAAAGACATGTTAGGAGCTGCCGGTTTTTGTTAAAGGATTTTCCCACTGGCCTTTAAAACCATTTAACAGGGCGCCTGGGTGGCTCAGTGGGTTAAAGCCTCTACCTTCAGCTCAGGTCATGATCCCAGGGTCCTGGGATAGAGCCCCGCATCAGGCTCTCTGCTCAGCAGGGAGCCTGCTTCCTCCTCTCTCTCTGCCTGCCTCTCTGCCTATTGTGATCTCTGTCTGTCAAATAAATAAATAAAAATCTTTAAAAAATAAATAAATAAATAAATAAATAAATAAAACCATTTAACATATAACATAAGAATTAATTTTAAAAAGGTAATTTTAAAAGCTTGAAATTGAAAGAAGTAAAGTGATAGAAGTGGAGAGAAGTGAAAAATGATAGAAATATTTAAAGTTACAGTAAGGGCTGCAAAACTACTTCACAGTATACCAAAATTACCAATATTCAAAATAACAGCATTAAGGCAACACAGACCAGCGGAGGTAGAGGTCAGTCTAGAACAAAAGGATGACAAAAGCTCCATTGCAAGGGCATGTCCAGGACTGCTTTTGTGGTTTTTTTAAGGCTGGGACACCTCTGGTTGCTCATCGCTGTCCAGTACACCTGGGCAGCTTCTTGGAATAGGAACACTCAGTGTCTGCATCCTTTACAAGCAGTGCCTTTTCCAAACAGAAGTGGGATATGAACATTGGGGACCTAAAACCCATGACCCAGTGTCACCTTTAAAGGGTTTGGGCAAGAAACAAGACACTAACACAAAACTATTTTCTTCTCAATGTTGAGTAGTTTTGTAAGACATAAAAACAGATCAAAAGTACAAAAGTGAACAGACTTGATTACCTGTGGGGATATGGACAAGTCTGACAGCACTATCTGTTGTATTAACATGCTGTCCTCCTGCTCCTTTGGCTCGAAATGTATCTATCCGCAAATCCTTCGGGTCCACCTTCACATCTACCTAGAACAAAAGGGAACACGGAAGTCAATTCTACACTCAACAAACACTTAACTTTTTTTAAAAGATTTTTAAAATTTATTTGTCAGAGAGAGAGATGGCACACAAGCATGGGTGCAGCAGGCAGAGGGAGAAGCAAACCCCCTGCCAAGCAGGGGATCCAACATGGGGTTCGATCCCAGGACCCTAAGATAATGACCTGAGCCAAAGGCAGACACTTAACTGACTGAACCACACAGGCATCCCAAAAAATACTTTAATACTAAATTTATCTCAAGATTCTTCAAATAAACTGTGTTGTTATTCTAAGTCACAGCCATTAGACTAAAAAATAGCTTATAGCAATGAAAGAACCATAAACTCCCTATATTTGACACTGACTTTTGATGCCATGAGATCACTGAGTTTATGCAAACTTTCAAGTTTCAGCATCCATCATCCCACAAAGCCACAGGATAGAAAACATACTCTCTCTCCGTATATACATACATATATATATATGTATGTACAAATGTGTGTATGTAAGTGTGATCTTCATTATTCCCTGATTCTGTATTTGCAAATTCACCTACTTTATTTGTTCCCCCAAATCAATTACTACAGCATTTTCAAAGTCACCAGAGAACTTGTGCAGGGCAGCAAAAAATCCAAGCCGTCCTATACAGGCACATTCCCAGCTGATGCCCAACAAAGTGACAGTTTGCTTTCTTTTTTCAGTCTGACCAGAGAATGAAGACAGGAGCGGGCAGAGAAGATAATACAAGAAGCTCTGGCTCTCGGGTCAGTTGGACAGGGTGTGAACCCCAATTCTGGCATCTATCTGGTAGTGAAGTGGCCTCAGGCAAGTCACCTAACACTTCTGAACCTCATTTTCTCTTTGTAAAATAAAGAAAATAGAACCTATTCTAAGTAACCAGGTGGGTTACTTTCCTCTGTTTTAAAATTTTACTTATTTATTTATTTGGATGGGTAACTTTTAAGATTACAATCTACATAAGACACATAGATATAGAAATCTATATATAGGTATATATACATATGTACACCTGCATGTGCACATGCGTGCGCACACACATACACAATTTCCCCTAGGGGAAATGATGGTTCAGTATTTGCTAAATCAGCATTTGCTAAGACTTTACAGAACACACACTGCGTGTGCAGTGATTAGTGGACTGAATGGAGGAATCCAAAAAGATAAGTTCACATTCTAACCACTAGACCCTTACTTGGAAAAAGAGTTTTTGCAGCTGTAATTGAGTTCAGATGAGATCATCCTGGGTTATTCAGACAGGTCCTAAATCCAATGAGAAGTGCCCTCAGACAGCTAAGGAGAGAGAGGACAAGAGGAACATGTGCATTCAGAGTTATACAGCTTCAAGCCAATGGACACCTGGAGACACCAGAAACTGGGCAAGGCAAGGGAGCATCCCTCCCCCACCCAGAAGCTTTGGAGGGAGCACAGCCCTGGAGATACCTTGAGTTTGCGCTACTGGCCTCTAGAACTGTTAGACAATAAATTTTTATTGTTTTAAGCACCTATTTGTTACACACACACACACACACACACACACACACACAGAAAAATAGTACAAAATATGCTGTTTTTCATGAAAGAACTAACATCTTATTTCACATTTACCATTCATTTGTACGAATGACAGCAAGTGTGACTCTTTGTAAAGCACAGTAGTAACGGGGTCAATTCTATAATTTACTATACAGCGTGGTTATTCTTTTATTTCCTCTAAAATGAATACTCTACTGTGGGGAAAAAAAAAAAAAGTATTCAGCTTTTTTAAAATATGCCAGTGTTGGCTACCTTAAAATTTCAATAAACACTAAAGAGATGAACAGCAATTTCCCATTTTTGTGGTTACAGTATATTAAGTAGTTATATAGCAAATATACGTATATTATATGTCATATTCTCCCAAGTGTTACAGAAACTACCTAATGAATGTTGGGAAATTCTGAACAAAGAACCAGTGACTTAATAATATACAAAGAATTTTAAATGTCAATTAAGAGAATAAGACTTTGCTCTTTTATGAAAAGCAAACTCCACTACATGGGTTTAATTTACAAGAATGTGAAAAGAATAAGGGGATGGGTGAGAACAGTGGAAGGAATAAGGAGTTAAGAAAGACAACTTAAGGGGCACCTGGGTGGCTCAGTGGGTTAAAGCCTCTACCTTTGGCTCAGGTCATGATCTCAGGGTCCTGGGATTGAGCCCTGCATCAGGTGCTCTGCTCAGCGGGGAGCCTGTTTCCCCAACTCTCTCTGCCTGCCTCTCTGCCTACTTGTGATCTCTGTCAAATAAAAAAAAAAAAAATCTTAAAAAAAAAAGAAAAAGAGGGAGAAGGAGTCAAGATGGCGGAGAAGTAGCAGGCTGAGACTACATCAGGTAGCGGGAGATCAGCTAGATAGCTTATCTAAAGATTGCAAACACCTACAAATCCAACGGGAGATCGAAGAGAAGAAGAACAGCAACTCTAGAAACAGAAAATCAACCACTTTCTGAAAGGTAGGACGGGCGGAGAAGTGAATCCAAAGCGACGGGAAGATAGACCGCGGGGGGAGGGGCCGGCCCCCGGCAAGCGGCGGAGCAACGGAGCACAAAATCGGGACTTTTAAAAGTCTGTTCCGCTGAGGGACATCGCTCCAGAGGCTTAACCGTGGCCTCAGGTCCCGCAGGATCACAGAAGAATCGGGGGTGTCTGAGTGTCGCAGAGCTTACAGGTATTAGAACAGGGAAGCCGGCTACAGAGACAGAGCCGAGGAGTAAGCTCTAAGCTCGGGGTTACCTTGAACCGGTCGCAGGCTCGGTCAGCTCGGAGCGCGGCCGGAGGCAGGGTGACGGGAGTAAATCGGCGCTGTTCTCTGAGGGTGCACTGAGGAGTGGGGCCCCGGGCTCTCGGTTCCTCCGGGCCAGAGACCGGGAGACCGCCATCTTCATTCCCGCCCTCCGGAACTCTACGGAAAGTGCTCAGGGAACAAAAGCTCCCGAAAGCAAACCCGAGCGGATTACTCAGCCCGGCCCCGGGTAAGGGCGGTGCAACTCCGCCCGGGGCAAAGACACTTGAGAATCACTACAACAGGCCCCTCCCCGAGAAGATCAACAAGAAGCCCAGCCAGGACCAAGTTCACCTACCAAGGAGAACAGTTTCAATACCAAGGAGAGCAGCGTAATTCCAAAGGAGGAGAAAGCAAAGCACGGAACTCATGGCTTTCTCCCCATGATTCTTTTGCCTTGCAGTTAATTTAATTTTTTTTCTTTTTCAATTTATTTTTCTTCTTCTGCTAAATTTTTTTAACTTTTACCCTTTTCTTTTTTAACGTTTTTTAACTAGTTTAACTAATATATATATATATTTTATTTTCCTTTTTATATTTTTTTCTTTATTGGTTTTCTTTTTTTAATTGTTTCTTTCTTTTTTTTTTTT